AATGGACGCTGCATTTACGAGGTGGGTCTAGTGATGGCATTGCATCATCCTTCAAGTGCAACGTTGCTTTACCGCTAAAGTTCCCAATCTGGTCAAATTGGTCTGGGTATGCTTGTTGTAGGTCCTTGATTGACCTTATGGGTTGGTGAGCAGCTTGCTTGCCCTTATGGATGGTGACAACATCTAGTTTCTTGCACGTAGGGAGTCCAACTATGACTGGTCCATTGACGTCTACCACGTACCACACTTGGTCTTCCCAAGGTGATCCCTTGTACTTGCATGCCATCGTAAGGGTGACCAAACAGCGTATTGGTGTGCCATTATATGCAGTCAGCTGTGTAGATGTGTGACAGATGATATCTTTCCACCGATCACTGTACATGTCCTTCAGTGTCCGCAATGGGAGCACATTTCCGCTTGCTCCTGTGTCAATTTTTGCACTGAGACGATGTTGTCCTCTTATGCCCGGACACACGATATTCATGTTTACATATGCCTCGTCATGCCTCGGGGCTATCGAATCCTTAGTATCCATTTGTATCATATGGAACTGACTTTCAGTACGCTCTGCCTGGTGTACGGCTTCTGTGTCCAGCTCATCAACCTGACGCTGATTCTTGTGCTGTGATACTGTAGGCTTGTGCTGCCTATATCTAAACTGTCGCCTTCGGCGGTCCTGTGACTGGTCCTGTCTCCCTCGTGAGGGTGGACGTCTGCGATGTGGGAACAGATCTTTTGCTCCTCGACACATTTTTGCCCAGTGTCCTTTTTTACCGCATGTATTACATAGATCTTTGAAGGCTGGGCACTGCCTTGGAGGGTGTAGGAGACCACATTTCATACACTGCCGTCGACTGTCATGACTAACAGCATCCACATCTCCGCTTGTGTCTGGGGCGTGGAGTATCTGCAGACATCGCTTACCAGCCAGGATTGCTTCATACTTGTGGCCTTCTTCAAGCAGATGATCTATCGAGAATCCTTTCTCTTTGTCGAGTAAGTCCTTCTGGAAGGGTTCTATCTGTGTGGACGAGACAACTAACTCGATGAGCCTCTCGCTCAATTCCGCCTCCGCGAAATCACACTCCTTTGCTTTACTACGACATCTACTGACAAACTCATCTATCGACTCATTGGCTTTCTCCCTATACCGCATCAGCTCAAGCCTGTGGATCCTGAAGTTGACCGAGACACTTAACTGGCCATCGACTAAGGTCCATAACCTGCTTGGTATTGACTGATCGGCTTCGGAAAGACCAGATGCATTTATTCTTTGTAGGCCTTCATTGCCCAATGCGATCTTGATTTTGATAGCCTGCTTTGTGAGGCCTGTTACTTCATTATCAAGAAGGCATAGCTCCATTCGCTGCCTAAACAACGAACTCATCGGCGACATTGGGAGCAGCCCAGTTCATCTCGGGATAACGAGCCATGATTGCAGGAACTTTGTATGTTGTATTATTGCATCACATTTGCATTATTGCAGGCTGTTATTATATTGCAAACTATATATATATATATATATATATATATATATATATATGTAAGATTACACACATCAACTTGATGTGTAACAGCAGTGTTATTACAAACACGAACGCACATCATATAACATCAGGCACACATTATATATGGCGCTAACATAGCGTACATACAGCACTAATCCATACTATACCTATTAGCATTACTAGTATTAGTCTATACATATTAGAGCTAATATACAGCATAAAGCACGAAATTCTATTGATTCGGTCTATATACGCACGTCAAGCCTATTTATAGACTTGCCTAGTCTTGGTTTTGTTACATCATTTAGCATGCTGCTTGCATACAACATTCTAATGTTTTCTCATTTTATTGCCTGTGTTACTCCGACGCAATAAGGCTATGATTAACAATACCGTTCTGACTATAACTCCTAGGGTCTATGGCCTGTGCTGTGCTGTCTTGTTTTCTCCTCCGCATTGGTAGGTGTTTGACACTTGCTCTCTGGCAGATATGTCTTAAGATAGAGTCTAAGCTATGTCTAGCTTTGTCTACGCGCATTTTCTTCTAATTGGTCGTTGCATGGCAGTCTTAGCACTAGCCGCTTCTGCGCGTCGGCTTACTCGCAAGTTAATCACTGGCCATGAAGGTGCATGTCGCCATACAGTTTTCTTATGTATGTAGCAGTCTTGATAGCCGTGAGCTTCGTCACTGAACTTGTTGCTTGATCTCTCCGCTCTTTGTGTCATTCTGTGTAATGTACTCGTGGACAAGCGTGTAGTCGTAAAGCTCTTTAATGTCGACAACGTATGACGTAACAATGTCGTAAACCATATGTCGTTAAACGTTACATCTCTCTTCTTTTACAATAAAAAAATAATAATGAGAATCCATCTCTATGTGACACAAGTAATGAAATGTACAAGATTCATACCAAGACGAATATGAAATTCCGTTTTACAATATCAACATTATCGAATATGAATCTTCCGTTTTACAAATCAAGAATTTGGGTGGTCTAGAAACACGACCACTGCGAGTTATCCGCGGTTGATTAACAGTCACTGAAAGTTTATCTGGCGTCTAACCAGCGGTGGCGATTGGGTTGTCTTCATCTCCAGAATCACTTGGGTTGGAGTTAACTTCGGACCAGCTACTTGACGATTCGTTATCATAGGGCTGTCCACATCTGTGCTCCCAGTTGTTTGGCTCCGAGAGTTTTGTGTTCTGCTGTTACTAGTAGAGGTAGAAAGGTGAAGGTGTTTTCTGTTTCTTCTGTATTTCCTCCCGTTGTACTCGACTACATATGACCTAGGTGAGTTGTGATGTCCTATGACAGTCGCGGGTAACCAGCGTTTTGCACCTGGATAAGGTGCCATTCTCACTGGGTCTCCTTCTACTAGCACAGGTAGATCCTCGCCTGCTTTGCAGTCATAGTAGTGACGTTGCCTCTCCTTGTTTCTGTCGAGACATTTCCTCACCTCACTAATGTCATATGCCTTGGGCTTCAATAGCTCTCTGGCAATTGGTATCTTGTTCCTTGGTCTACGAGACATTGACAGTTGTGCTGGAGACTTGTCACAGCTTTCCAGTGGAGTACTTCTGTAATCAAGTAGTGCTAAGTGTTTGTCAGCACACTTGGACCAAAGTCTCTTGACAGTTTGTACTGCTCTCTCAGCTTCTCCATTTGATTGTGGGTATCTCGGTGACGATGTTCTGTGTTCTATCCCATAATCATTACAAAAGTCAATGAACTCTCTGGAGTCATACTGCGGACCATTGTCAGTACGCAGCTTCTCTGGCATGCCATGTCGACTGATTTGCGCTTTCAGGGCCTCGATGGTGCTCAAGCTGCTTAAGTCTGGTAGCTTGTCGACCTCGATGTATTTGGAGTAGTCTATTGTGACGATGTAGTGGCTCTTCTCCCATTCGAATATGTCTGATGCTACTTCCATCCATGGCAGTTCTGGTGTTTTTGTAGGACTTAATGTTTCCTTTGCCTGGTTCTGCTGATATGTGTTGCATTCAGCACAGTCATTTACCAGATCTTGCACTTGTTGTGCCATGTTTGGCCAGAACAGTGCTTCTCTAGCCCTTTTCTTGCATTTTACTATTCCCATGTGTGATGCATGGATCTGTGACAGCATATCTGGCTGCATGCTAGGTGGTACAACTATTCTCATAGATTTGTACACCACACCATCATATACGGATAGTTCATCTCTGATATTCCAGTATTCCCTTATGGAATGGGGCACCTCCATTTTGGTGTCTGGCCATCCCTTCAGGATCATAGTGTGTAACTCGTTGAGTTCATTCGCTGTGCGTTCCTGAAACTGTGTGTATCTCGTTGGTGCGACTGCAATGTAATCCACCATGTTGACTGTCACTTGTTCCATATCAGCATCTGTTCCAGGCAGGTTGGCTCTACTCAGTGCATCTCCTATTGGTATTTCCTTTCCTGGCTTGTACTCTAGTTTGATATCATATGGTTGCAGTCGTAGAAGCATGCTCTGCAGTCTCATTGGTGCTGAGAGTAGTGGCTTCGTATATATAGCCTGCAATGGCTTATGATCACTCTCTACGTGGACTTCTCTGCCGAATACGTAATGATGAAACTTCTTGCAGGAGTGCACCACTGTTAACATTTCCGTTTCTATCTGTGCGTACCTTTTCTCCGTCTCCGTTAGAGCCCTTGATGTGTACGCTACAGGCTGCCCTTCCTGTAGTAGTACCCCTCCAAGCGCAAAGCTGCTTGCATCACACTGGATTCTTATCTCCTTATCAGGGTCGTAATATGCTAGTACAGGTGTGTTGCAGCATAGATCTCTGAGCTTGTCGAAGCTTCTTTGCTGAGGCTTGTCCCAGTGAAACTCTATATCTTTCTTTGTGACCTCCCTCAACGGCTCGTCAATGGCACTAAGTTCTGGTATGAACTTTGCAAGATATTGAATGAATCCTAGGAATCGACGCACGTCTTCCTTGCTTTGTGGTGTTGGCATGTTAGCGACTGCTCGGACCTTATCAGGGTCTACCCTCAGTCCTTCTGCAGTGACGATGTGCCCCCCATACTTCACACTGTCCTTCTTTACTTGACACTTCTCAAAGTTTAGTTTCAAGTTCCACTCCTTTGCACGTGCTACGACCTTCCTCATGATTCTGTCGTGTTCAGCTGAATCCTTTGCTGCTATGAGGATGTCATCCATTATTGCTCGCGCTCCTTCTATATCTTCCAGCATTGTGTCCATAATTCTCTGATATATTTCTGGTGCCGATTTGATACCGAAGGGTAAACGTAGCCACCTGTATCTTCCTGCAGGAGTATTGAATGTTGTTAGAAGACTTGATTCGTAGTCTAGCTTGATCTGCAAGAAACCTGATTTGGCATCTATCACTGTGAATACCTTGGCTCGCTGCCTGCCTGCCAGAACTTCTTCTATGGTGGGTATTTGGTATTGTTCTCTTCGTATTGCCCGGTTTAGATCCTTGGGGTCAATACATATCCTGATTTTATCTTTCTTCAGGACTACCACCATAGAGCTCACCCAGTCCGTTGGGCTTACTACTTTAGTTATTTGCCTTCCTCTCCATCTCTTTAGCTTTTCCTTAACTTTGGAGGAGAGCTTGAGGCTGACGTCTTGTCCGTGAACTACGGTTGGACTGTTGGATCAATCCTGAGATGATATATAACCTGGGAGTGTCCTGTTGTCTCCCTTAGCTCAGGGTATTGTCAATCTCTTCTCTCAGTGTTACTTCGTGTATTCTTTCGATCAGACCAAGTTTCGTACTTGCTTGGCCTGACAGCAGTGGCTTTTGTTGCGCATCCACTACGTAGAAGTAACATTTGTTGTCTGATCTTTTGTACTGTCGCTTCGAGACCTTAATCCTGTGACCTGTGTAGGACTGTAATCCTTCTCTATTGGCACAAGATTACTAGTTGATTTAATGATCTATACATGCTGTATGGCATGAGCGATTGTACAGCTCCTGTGTCTATCGCACTCTCGTATTCTGTCCCTCTATGGTAACATGTTCCCACCAATCATTGGTGCTGGGGTCACTGTTGGACGATACGTGTGTATCAGATGAGTGTAATCTGTATTGTCATCGCTGTCATAGTCTATCATGTTTGCTGAGCTAGGCTTCCCTCTGCAAACTTTGGCAAAGTGCCCTTTCTTTTTGCACTTATGACAGGTTTGGTCCTTGGCTGGACATTCATTCTTAGCATGTCCACGCCTGTGTCCACAACGAGTACAGCAGAATAATCCTTGATCTCTTCTTTGTTGCTTTTTCTCTTTGACCTTGCCACGGCTTGCTTCTTGCTTGCGATGACCTTTGAACTTCTGCTTCCTTAGCACAGCATGTACTGTGGAGTCTTCCTCACCAGCAATGGCTTTCATGCTTTCTTGAGACAACTCGAAATTTTGACCTATATTCACCGCCATCTCAAGAGTAAGTTCATCCCTTTTTCTAGGCATTTTTCTCTCACTTTGGATTTAGCGATCTTAGAACGATAGCGTCTCTTACCATCTGTTCCTCTATAACATCAAAACCACAGTCCTTGATCAGTATTTTAATGCCTGTCACGAAGTTGTCGAAGCTCTCACTCGTCCTGTTTTCTTCTGTTACAGTTTACAGTTGCTCTTATTTGTTCCTTTTCGGTGCCACAATTCACTGTACTTGTCATAGACTCCCTTTAACGTTTCGTTTTCTCGTTCAGCCCATGAAAAAGTACTGTGTATATTTCTCTGCCTTTGTCACCTATGTAAGTCATCATATAGTTGACCTTTTCTAGTTCTGACTTCTTAGAAAGTGGCCCTTGGAATGTGAATTCACAATGCCGTTTAAACCTTTTCCATTCCATTCCAAGATCCCCTGCTCTCCAATTCATAGCAGTTTGTCGCGACTACCGCCTTCTGCCATGATGTACGTTTTAACAGGTCGTAGATTATACAGTCGTTTATCGATTTTACTCCACTGCTAACACAATCATGCTCAGTTCACAAGTATCAATTTTTTCTTGGCATGCGTTACTCACTCTTGTCTTGTTAACATTCGTCAAGTTGGGTTCTTGTTTCCATAAAAGTTAAAACGATGTCGAAAAGTCAATGGCTGCCGGCGGGAAATCAGCATTCAGGCGATCTGAACTTTGACATATCTTTTCGCACAAATCTTTAGTGTTGACGTCTCATACACAGTTCATTTAATGCCTTAAGTATTCGTTCCAAAGTTCTCGTACTCACTTTTCCACTGTTTTTATCTTTTCATTGTTTTAATTGAAGTTATTCGAACTTCTGACATCATTAATGTACTCGGTAGACAAGCGTGTAGTCGTAAAGCTCTTTAATGTCGATCACGGTATGACGTAACAATGTCGTAAACCATGTGCGTTAAACGTTACATTTCTGCTCCACTCCGAGCTGCACTCGATTTCCCGCCTTTTTTTACAGTCGTCGCTTGCTGTGGAACGTAGGCTGTAGAGGCTCTAAAAGTACTCAACGTTCATTCCATCACGGGCACAGTGGATTCGTAAATCACCACCGCTCCACCATGTTGGGTGTGTGTGTTTGTGATGAACACAAATAAGTCGAACACACAAATATACAGTCTACAGAAGAGCGTGCCTTTATTCCAGCATCTCTACTTGCGTGCCTCATGTAACTGCCGATCATATGCTTTCTTTTACGACCACTTTACCTCGTATTAACCCACACGCGTAGCAATGTAATTCCTATCACTACAACATGTATTTAGTAATCTAGGCAGTAGTTAACTTTCAGTTAATCGTCAAGTCTATGCCTTAACGCATTAAAGACAATATATCCCATAAAGGTGCCACCTCCGTGTTTTATTGGTATTTAGGGACATCCATAGGTAGGGAATTTGCTCTCTATGAAACGTAACAAAGTTAAGCAAAAAATAGAAACGTCTACAATGTTTTGAATGCACCTCGATCTATGCACGATAGCACTCACCAGAGTTGTCCTGTGTTCTTCATCTGCTTTCTTGCCTAAATAATCTGTAAATCAAATGGATTTACTTTTAATCTCAAATTTACTATACTTTACGTCAGTGATTAACATTAATATGTAGTATATGTTATATAGTAATATGTTTAATATGTAGTATATAAATAAAAAATACACTATATCTGAGATAATATCAGAAATGATAACCTTTGCACATATGTATTAGAGTTCAGCATGCAATAACAACAGAAATTAACAATATTAACAATATTTAATGTCACAAAATAAACTATTTTAACTTTGCAATGACAGCAGCAATTATAACAGTAACAACCCAAACATTGTTTAACGCAAAAACGAAGTATTATCAACGATTACAAAATAACCAACAAAAAACATTTGCATGCATGGCACTTACTCTAGTCACACACTTCTTTGGTCACGTCATTATGGGACTGTTAACTAAATCGGCCTTTCAATACACGTTGATCGGCCAATCAAATACACTATATCAGCCAATCAAATACACGTTGATACAGATGTATAATTAAGCACTATCTTGCACCCAACTCTATGCCCGGTTGGCCTACTCCCATTTCGCCTACGACAGAATTCCCATTTCGTCTATAGCAAAACTCCCAGTTGGCCTAGTCCCACTTTGTCTACACCAACAAGTGCCGCGGAGCGACAGCGCTCATCTAACGTCTACTGCGGTGACTCTGTGGTGGAGTGGTGTGATTCGAGTAAACCCTGTTAGTCCCAAATGTGTTCACATACACGCCAAAACAGTGGAGTGCACAGGGGTGGTATCAGGAACCTTCTCAAAGGAATGTTCGTTGGGATCGTTATGAAAGTTGCCACGAGATGGCGCTTACGTTTAAGTGTCTTCAGATTAAAGATGGAAGCTCCCTGGACCCATCGTACGTAGTAGCAACAACTATTTGCAAGACAGAATAGGTAAGCACTCATCCATTTACCTACGCAAGCCTACAGGCTGCAATAGAGAGCTGCCACCTGTAACCAATTAACGCAGGCAAAAACTACACAGTACCACCACCACATGCACTGGCAGTGGCCACTGGCAGTGGCATACGTTACATGTAACATACTGACAGTATAGAATGCCATAGAAATTATATAGTCCGGGAGCCAAACCCCAATTTTGGGCGGAACCCTGCAGTGAGAGTTAGTTTTTTTCTTTGCTGATTCTTGTAG